GAAAGAAAGAAAGAAAGAAAGAAAGAAAGAAAGAAAGAAAGAAAGAAAGAAAGAAAGAAAAAAGGACAAATGAAAAGAGGCACATGCTAGTAGGTCACACACAAATGAAAAAGTTAACCTAATCTAACTCTATAATTTAATCTGCAAATTGAGACATTTCTAAGACAAAAGATGACCTTGTTAAAAATCTGGTCATGATGGCCCAAAACAGTCCACTACTAAGAAAACTAGGATAAATGGTTCCCCTGATTATTATTCCAATAGGAGTAACAGGGACAATTGTTACTTGCCAACTGTGCTTTACCAAAACTGCGGCATAGCCTGAAGAGGGTACCATGTCTATGCCATGTTGTTTTCCAAATGTCACTGAGCATACAGCTTTCATTCCAAATGCTGCCCCCTAGAGTGTCAGTCTGGTTTTTACATGTAGCTAAATTATCTTTACATAATTTAAATTATTTGTTCTTAACAACTCCAAGGTAGGTAATATTATATTCACTTTATAGGCAGGAAACTTATAAAAGCTTGAATTAAACTGTACATAGTAAATGAGGTAACTGCTTTAAGCATCAGAAATCTTTCTCCCTCTTCCATGCCTTTAAACATTATACTATATTTTTACCAATTAAGCACCATGATTGGCAGATATAAACATTGGGAATTCAGCATAGTTCACCCAAATTTATTCCATTCACATTATTTCCATTGTACTAGTAAAAAACTATGCATGCAAATTATACAGAAGTGGGAACACTCAACATGAATAATTTTAAGTGGCAGACTATGTAAGTCATACCTTCAGTACTGATACTTTTATTTTGAATCTTTAAACAAATTAAGCCTTAGAATTGCAGTCTTATGATAATTATTCATGGTCCATGAATTCCCACTCATTTAAAGATTCAATAGTCCCTTCCTTGATGCAATCATTGGGTTAACAATAATTTGATTTGACCCAGCCACCTAAACATGTTCTTAAGTGTATTCAGTTAGAAGGGAAATTAAAACAATGTTAGATTTGAAATTATGCTAAATATAAAGTAAAATGTGTTTTGAGTTTTCCAAAATCATCTTTTTTAAAAATTAATTTTAAAATATTTATACGCTTTTGATTCAAATAGAAACCTAAATCACTCAAGGGAGGAGTGGGTACATAATGAAAAGAAATTTGATGGATGTATTAAATGTTAAATATTTATCGAAAATATTTTTTGATAAATAATGGCTCCTTTTCTTTTTATATGGTGGACAGACAATGGAAAATTAATGTTAACATGGCAATCATGTCAGTCTTAGGAAAACCTGTTAAATATCCAAAGCTATTATAATATTATTTGGATTTAAATTAAACAAAAGTTTTTTATCTAATATCTTTCTGTGCTAATTTCTTTCTACAGACAAGAAAAACCAATAATTTAGAAAATAAGTAAATGCTTTCTCTGGATGGATAGATAATTACATAAATATATAGATAAGGGGATAATTACCCTTTCTCTTTTTTTCCATTACTAAGCCACATAAAAGTGTCCAGGTAGATCAATCTACCTTGTAGCACATGATTTGTAACTGCAGTGTACTATGACACACCAGATATTAAGCTGGTGCATACAAGCAAAAACAATAATGTTGTCATTATGTATGGATATGCAGTTTAATTGGTAATTAAATAGTGACAGTGTCCTTGTCTTATAATGAATAATTTTGAACTTATTAAAAAGGTTAATTAAGCAAGTGTTAAAAATGTAGGAGTAATTACAAATTAATAGCAATAAAGTATGTAATTTATAAACAAGAAAGACGAGAAACATGGAAAAAGTTCATCAATCTATAACAAAGGAAAAAAATACAACACAAAATAACATAAATAATAACACTGATAAATGAAAAAATTATAGATTTGCTTACTGTGTGTATAAACTTTGAAAAATAAACATTTCTACATGACCAATATGTTTTAACAGGCATTTACAAGAAGAATAAGGCATATGTAAGACATAACCTAGGCTGAGATATTGATTCTTGTCTTGACACTAATTGGCTCTGTGGCCTTCAACAATTTACTTATGTCAATATAAGTAAACAATTTACTTATCTCAACTTTAATTTTATTTAATTTACTTATCTCAGTCTTTAATTTTAACTGAAGTTTGTAGATTGAGGAAAAAAGCTTTTTTTTCACAGTTTTTCCACTAATCTCAATAAATTAAACTACTAATTCAATCTATTTATTTATACATATATATGTATATATATATTCAAGAAATCTCTTTAGAAACATATTTGAACCTTTAAGAATCCTACAGTACATATCACAGTGCTTTCCGTTTAAAGATTAGTGTCATATGTGTTCACTTTCCCAACACATATACTAAAATTGGAACAATGCAGAGATTATTAGGATGGCTGCTGCATAAGGATGACACACTAATTCTAGAAGTGTTCCATACTTTGAAAATCTGTGACATCTTAAATAAATGACCTAATGATGCATCTTAGGACCTTAGAAAAACAAGAACAAATTAATATCAAGAACAGTAGAAGAAAGAAATAATAAAGATCAGTGCTGAATTTAATGAACTACATATACACATACTCACGCACAGACATACCCACCCACAAAGATCAATGAAAGAAAAGAGTTGGTTATTTGAAAAGATAACCGAAATTCATAAACACTTAGTCAAACCAAAATTGAGAGAAGACCCAAGAGAAAAAAATTAGAGATGAATAAAGGGTTATGATAAAATTTAGAGAATCACTAGGGACTACATTAAAACATGAGAAATTATACTTCATTTATGTATGATTCATCATAGTGCATTCAACTGTCATTATAACTAATTCAACAAATTAGAAAATCCTCAGAAAATATATATTCCAAAGAATTGGAAAATCTAGAAGAAATATATAAATGTCCAGATACATACAACCTACAAAATGAATCAAGAGGATATAAAACAATTTAAACAGACCAATAAAAAGTAATGGTATTAAAACAGTAATAAGGTACAATAGGATGTTTAATATTTGTACACATTATGTTCCAGAACAAACTAATTAGCATATCCACTACCTCAAATATTTAATATTTGTGTGTCATGACAATATTTAAGTCCTCTCTTTTAACTATTTTGAGATACATAATACATTATTATTAACTAAAGTCACCTCCATGTTATATATGTGCGTTATGTGTGTATACACACACAATATTTTATATTAAAAGTATTCTAGCTTCCAAAACGTTGCTATAATTCATGACAATATCACTTCCAAACTGATTTTTTCTATGTCTTTCTATGCTTTTTGAATAACACATTGAGCCAAGGGAACTGAATAGTTACTGGATACCTAGAATTAGTTTTCCCTGTAGAAATAAAAACAATTTACTTTCATCATTGCAAATCTTAGCCGCTTCCTTGGAGACTGAAACTCACCCGTAGTAATTTTGAGCATAATATAATATATTGCACATTCAGAAAGAGTATCAATTACCTTCACAATTCTTATTACTCAGGAAAGTGCTATAATAGGTAAGTGTGAAACCTGCAAAAGTAAAAATTATGTTACCCATATTTATCATTGACTTTTTAATCAAGAGATGGAGAAAAGATTGATATCACTTAGGTAATAAACACCATACTTTTACAAACTGGCTATTTACATATACAAAGTTTCATTTAGATTTTTCTGCCAAGTTAAAAACATATTCAGGGAGATTTGTAACTTGCAGTTTATTTTTTCCTAATTAGTATGCTAATTCTCTTTGGCAATTTTCTCTTTAAATATCAATATGAGACTACACCATTATAAGCAAAGGTGCAGCTTTTTAATGCAAGTTTTAAGTAATTAAGGAAAAAATTGATTCAGAAGTAAGGTTCTCTGAAGATGAAAATAAATGAGAGCCTAACAAAATATGAACTGCATTATTTTATAATTCTCCTTAGAAATACTGTGTGGAAAAGCCTAGAAATGTAATTCTCAGCACCTTTTTCTGAGTGCTTCTTATTTATCAGTGTTAAGGTCTGAATTAATCAATACAAATAATATGTTATAGATTATAGATTTAAAAATATAGATTATAAAATAGTAAGTATACCCATGGTGACTCTTTTTTTATGGTTTCCATGTGAAGCTGTTATATAAACTGTTTTTAAGAATCATTAAAAAAAATGTTTTTCTGTGCTTCATATATCTGCAAATGTACTCGAACTCAGGATGTGTAACCACAAGTGTGCTCAACCTCATTGCCCCGTGAGCACAGAGAACATTTAACATACTGTTTCATATTTCTGAGCCTCATATTTTAAGATGATATTATAAGAAAATGGAATTTCCAATGGCAAGGGATAGTATTTACTATGGCCAGATTGTATGCTCTGCCAAAATTAATACGATGAAACCTGAATCTCCATTGTGATGGTGTTTGGGAGTGAAAACTTTCAGAGGTAATTATATTTAGATGAGGTGTTAAGGGTGAAGCCCTCTTTTGCTTTCTTTCTATCATATGAGGATACAGAAAGATATTGGCCATCTACAAGCAAGATGGGCTGGCACCTAGATCTTGGACTTCCCCGCCTCTAGAATTATGGGAAAATGTGTAATATTTTGGCCACCCTGTCTACAATATTTTGCCATATAAGACAAAACTAATACATTGTTCTCCCATATCTATTCCACCAAAATATATTTTTATTTGAAGTAGAATGAGATACAGATTTGGTTACAAGTCAGATGCCCACATTTATTACCTCGATACTCCAAATTTTTCCTGGTCCCATCTGTTTCTGTTACTGGATCATTGCCAATATTATTGTGTTAAAGTAGCCATTATATTGGTTCATCCAAAACTAGAAAATTAAAAATTCTCATAATTAATTTTCACACCATTTCTTTCTCAAAAATATTTTTTATCATTAATTAATAACTTGCTGCAAGGACAATAATCTTAACTATGGTATGTAAATTTAAGATATGTCAAATAATTACTAGTCTGTAGTTTAATGGATGTAACAGTATATAGAACAACATAGGAATAAAATAATTAAATATGTTATTCTCAAATTATATATTAAGTTAATACAATACTGACCTATTCTCTAAATATAAACAAAAAAAGGGCTTGAGATGTGACTCAGTGATTCTGTGGTTAAACACCCCTGGGTTTAATCCCCAATACAAAAAAAAAAAAAAAAAAGCAATAACAACAACAAAAAACACTACCTTATTTTACAGAAATGTGTTTTGGTTCTTAGAGCACTATTTAGTGCCTAAAAATGAAAATAAAATGAACATTTTTCTGTTAATAAAGTAGTTTTTTAAAAATCTTTTTAAACATCAAGTTGTATTTATAATATCTGTCTTTTTTTTTTTTTTTGAGCCCCAAAGCTAAAATCACTTAAAGTGATTTTTCCTTGTTCTCTCCAAGGTCAAAGATACAGCAGCATATCAGTTATGGGTTTGGTTGTTCAGCAACCATCAACATCCAGACACCTGCAGCTGCCTGAATACATAAGTTCCAAGAATAACAACCCCCAGATAATTTGTTAGGACAGACAATGAAGACAAAAAGAGAAATTGCTACTGGAGTATCCAATGGGTAAAATGTCATTCAAGTATTAAAAGTCAAAGTTATAATAAAATCTCTCATTTCATCTTTCCTTTCTCTCTCTTCCTATCTTTAATCACCATCATTATTATGGTTGTTAATATTGATATTATTATTATGTTTTTGAAGACATATATATTAATTAAATCTTTAAGAAAGAGAAATTTATCAGTATTCAACCCGATAAGTGGTTGTGTGCTAAAGAAGCATGGTTGGTCTTCTTCTCTACTACATTAGGAAAAATCTAGCATGATGAGCTTCTCTTTTCTTTTTTCTTTTGTTGTTATTGTTTTTGTACCTGGGATTGAACCCAGGGTAATTTTACCACTTGCTAAGGATCTCACTAAGTTGCTGAGACTGGCTTTGAACTTGTGATCCTTCGGCCTTCCTCAGCCTCCCAAATTGCTAGGATTATAGATGAGTACCATCACACCTGGGTTAGCTCTTCATATCATTAGGATCCATAAGGATTTAAAAAAAAGACTTCTCAAATCATTAACTAACTTTTGTTTAAATGATTTTTATATTTACAGAAATAATTTATTCAGCTTTTAAATTTGTCATCATTCAATTATTTTATTTCTTAGGCACTTGGCATTTTATTGGGGTCACTTTCCAAGTGGGGAAAAGGTGGAATACAACTACTTGAATTTAAAAATCAACAACAGTGTATGTTATATATCTATAATAGAGTAAAATGCCATCATTAATATGAGCAGATAATAATGTATGCTGTTATCCTTTGTGTCTTCCAAAAATCATTGGCTCTAATTTTAGTGTGGACTAAGTATGTTTATCAAGGAACTGTCTCTGGATCACCAACTATAGAAGCAGAATTGGGCAGACAGCTGTAATGGAACTAATTACATAAAGAAATCTAAACAGGAAGTGTGCAGTCTGCCTGATTTACCATTGGGCTGAAATGGTCAGGCCTTTATATTTCTACCTATATGACTTGTTGGATTTATGTTACACCCAGAAAGATATAATTAACCAAGTCTCAATATCTATAAGGACTGAGAGCTGAAGGTAGTTATCTGAATCCACACCCTGCAACTGAGACAATCTATATTTCCATGAAGAGGAATATGGGTTGTGAATGTATGTTGCCTATTGTATATAGTTTCCAAAATTCTCTGCAGTTTCCATTTTGTCAGTCACTATGATGCCATATTCCACAATATTCACTATTTCTCAAGGTAAATTATTGACTTTATTTTGTATATATAAATATATATACATGTATAATTTTGTATATAATATGCATATACATTTATATATGTATATCTACTTATGTGTTCACAACTAATTAGTTGATTTTTTAAAATCATAATGCCACTTAAAAATCTAATTAATTAAGCATTAATTTCTTAGATCATAAAAGTAAATAAGAAAATCACATTAAAATTGTATACAGGGCTGGGGTTAAGGCTCAGTGGTAGAATGCTTGCTCAACATGTGTGAGGCACTGGGTTTGATCCTCAGCAACCACATAAAAAAATAAACAAATAAATGTATTGTGACCATCTACAATTAAACATTTTTTTTAAAAAAAGATTAAATACAATTAATTAATTCTCACCATTTGCTCAAGGGATATTCTATAAAGTCACCTCAAACACTGTGTTAATCTATTCTTGATGATTGCTCCTTGGGGTAAACCCAGTGTTAGATTTTACTGATCCTCCAGTCATGACATTTCCATAAACTCATCAATACACATAAGCATTTTTTTCTTTGGTACTGGGGATTAAACTCAGGGGCACCTAATTTTGTATTTTCATTAGAGTCAGAGTCTCACTGAATTGCTTTTGCCTGGCTATTGCTGAGGCTGGCTTTGAAC